CCCCCCCCCCTCCACCGTCCGATCCATTTTGGATCTCACTCCGGAGAGTTTTGGGGTGTCTTAGCTCTAAGTCCTCCACCGCCCAAATGAGGGACTTATCTATAGTATTTTTTTTTATGCCGTATCAATAGGCATTAACCTTAGGTAAGTAAGCCTGTGCTTACTTTGGACTGTACCCTCCTCATCCTCTGGGGGAGGTAGAGGGGTAGGGGGTCGGTAGGGGGTCGCATGGCCTCTATTTTTCAGGGGGGGTTCGGGCACGGGTTGGGGGTCGCGTGTGTGTGTACTGTATTCTCGAATTGTCCCCTCACTAAGGCTACTGTGGATTTTCAGTATACAGCTATCCTTACTCAACGCGTCTCACTCAACACGTCTATGTGTCCGGCAATCTCCAATACAAATCCACCTCATGAGGTTGCAGTATGCAGCTTTCTTCACTCAATGCGTCTATGTGTCCGGCAATCGCAAACGTCACTCAACCCGTGAGGTCTCAGTATGTGTCTGTGTTGTGTGTGTTTTCGTCCCATTTATTATGGCGACAGTCCCCCCATTTTTCGTGGTGAGACGTGTACTACACTTTTCAGCGTATGTAGAGTACTACACTTTTCAGTGTATTTTTTCGTACAACTACAACCATCCAGGGTCACACAGGAGGGGGTAGACACCAGGGCTTTTTTCTTCTTTTTATTTCTTTTCATGCCCCACCTTCCTCCTGCGGTGCGTGCTGAACTTTATTTTTACCGCGAGAAGGGTCCTGTCATCCCTTTCCCTCGGCAACGGTGCCAACGTCGAAGTTTGGTACTCACGAGAGCTTTTTTAGCAAAATATCGCTTTCACCCGCAAAATTCGTAAACTGTTCTCCCCATGTGGATTCGAACTCACAACCTCTGCGACTAGCGGATTACGAGGATACCACTAGACCACCGGGGCGACCTGTGTCTGCCCTCACTCAAAGTGTATGTGTCTGGTACTATCCAACATCACTCAACTCGTGAGGTTTCAGTATGTAGCTATCCTCACTCAGCGCGTTGATGTGTCTGGCAAACTCTGAAACCAATCCGTGAGGTTTCAGTATGCAGTTATCCCCACTCAACGCGTCTATGTGTCTGACAAACTCAAAAACCAATGCATCTGTGAGGTTTTAGTATGCAGCTATACTCACTCAACACGTCGATGTGTCTGGCAATCTCCATCACAAATCACCTGTGAGGTTCAGTATGTGTCTATCCCCACTCAACGCGTCTATGTGTCTGACAAACTCAAAAACCAATGCATCTGTGAGGTTTTAGTATGCAGCTATACTCACTCAACACGTCGATGTGTCTGGCAATCTCCATCACAAATCACCTGTGAGGTTCAGTATGTGTCTATCCCCACTCAACGCGTCTATATGTCCGGCACTCCAACATCACTCAACCCGTGGGGTTTCAGTATGCAGCTTTCCCCACTCAACCCGTCCATGCGTCTGGTAATCTCATACCTCACTCAACCCTTGAGGTTTCAGTATACAGCTATAATCACTCAATACGTCTCTGTGTCCGGCAATCTCCTACATCACTCAACCTGTGAGGTTTCCGTAAACAGCTATCCTCACTCCACTCGTCTATGCGTCACGCGTCTTTGGTAGCGCATACTATGGGGGCTATTCTTGGGATGGCGTGTTTTACAGCGCTTCGCCAACAGTCTAGAACGGAGGGCGACAGATGGCGGGGCTTGTTTTACAACGTCGTTGCCAAGCGACGAAAACCCAACCCCGATGGCAAACACCGGGGGGCGCGGCAGCTTGTTTTACAACGTCGTTGCCATGCGACGAAAACCCAACCCCGATGTTAAAACACCAGGTGTACTCATACTCATAGTCGTGCATGCCGTAGTCGTTAGACCATTGACCTCGCATCCCTACAAAGCCGGGACGGAGCACGCCGGGTTCTCACCGGACCAGGCTCTCACATCACCAAGCGCGAAGCGCCGTGAGATATTCGGCGAGTCGCATGAAGGGTGCGCTGCATCCTGCTAAGGGTGTTCGGCATCTTGTGCTTACTTCCTTGCGTACGGATGACAGCTGCGTATGAATTAATTTATTTTCTGGTGCTTTCACTTCCAGAGACAGTTGTAAGCACTGTGTAACTGCCTCGAGGGTGCTTGACCATTTTAACACAACGTGGTGCGATCATCCCCCTTGCGCGGAGTGAGGATTCTCCACCCCGCGCAACATGATCTACTCGACCACCATTATGGTTACTACCAAAAAAAAAATGAGGTAAAAAAAAAAACGGTAACCTGGTTGCCGAGTTCCGAGGTGAATTGACTTGTTTTACAACGTCGTCGCCAAGCGACGAAAACCCAATTCCGATGGTAAACACCGGGGGGGGCATTCTTGGGCGGCACTCCCGTGTGTAGCTGAAGAGCCACTTCTAAAAAACTGCCCAGAACTTTGTCACGGGTGGCCGAGGTTATGGGGCGTTCACGTGGGTGACGCATGGGACTGGTCTGTACGATTACTTGTTTGCCTGCGTTGACGGCGGTCGTGGCCGTGGCATGGCGTGTAGGGGACGACGCGGGCGGGCGTGAGATTGGTGCGAGGGGTATGATATGTGAGGGGCGTGTTACGGTACCTGCCATGTTCGGATAACCCTAACCCTTATGAACTTGAAGTAGAGATCCCAAGGGGGGTGTTCGATGTGTGTACAATATAGTGTCCGGCCTGGGTTGGGTGCGTTGGGCCTCTTTGATGTCTTGAAACCAGTTGTTGGTGTCCCTTGCGTTTATTGTCGTCGTCGTCGTCTTCGCGGTTTCTTGTTGCTTGAGCATACCATCTGTGACCCTACCTCAGAATTCCCTGCGTCAATCGAGGCAAGACTGATCGGGCATAGGCACGCACGCGACAGGCATGCGGAGAGTAGGACTATTTCCCGCAACCTGCGAGACACGACAAGATGAACCGGACTAGCCCTGCTTTCTTGTTGCGTTGAAAATTTCGAGTGCCTTGTTTTCAACATAAGCGTTGTCTGTCTGACCGCTGCGAACAGTTGCAGTTGTACATGGTGTGGGTGGTGGTACTGCTATTCGTGCGGCCTTCCCGACAGACCATAATGGGCGTACTCAAATCCAGATGACTATCAATAAGTAAACACAACGAAGAGTCTTCCTCTCTAATGCGCTGACAACACCTGCCGCATGCTGCTGCTGCGGCTGCCATTCGTTAGGTTACGGTTGACGGGCTTCCGGACGTGCTCAACCTTGGGAGAGTAGCAGAGTGCGTGGCCACCGTGCGCAACCGGTCGAATCGGCCGATGACCCTCCAGCTCCAGTTCCGCACGGACGGCATGGTTGGGGTCTACGTGCACGGCCAGAGCTTCCGGAATCTAGGTCCGTCGTCGCAGCGTGATGTTGTTGTTGACGGCGATGTCTCGTCGCTGATATCCCCACTGGCTTGCACTCGTGTAGCTAAAGGGGGACTCCGTGTGGCTGATGTTTGTGTCGCGTGTGGGTGTTAACCTTTGCTGCTGCTATTGGGTGGCCGCGTTTGTACTGTCTGTCCTCCATGGCCCCACGACCGGGTTCCCATGGTGGACATGTCCTCGCTGCCCCATTTGGCGTGTGGTGTACGCGTTCGTGGTTTGTTTCTGCATGATGGCATCAACCGCACTCAAGCTCGTTGAAACCGCCCAGAATAGAGCCCCGCACACCCACACCCGCCAGTTCCGCCTACCTCGTCGCGCCTTCTGCTGTTGCTTTCAAACTCCGCGTTTCATGTTGTTGCCGGTGCAAACTTTTGAGCAGGCGAGCTCTTACCGGGGATGTTCGTACGGTGTCCCCTGCAGCTACTGGCGCTTGTCGCGGGTCTGCACGAACTCCGAGGCTGCACCGTGGCAGACATGCACACGGCCCAGGAGTTCGCTCAGGGGAAACTCAGAGATATTTTGGTCGAGTTTCCAAACGAAGCAGATGACGAGGCGGTTGTTGTTGGGGGGGGGGATGAGCACGTAGTGCCAGGGTTGTAGCGGGGATAGGACCGGGGAGGTGGAGAGATTAGGTGTTCGGTGTTTCGTAAGTCCGGAGCATGGTCACCGGTTCCATCGGATCGTGTTCATCTCTTCCTTACAGTATATTGGAATGTGCTTGGTTTTAAGCGACCCGGATCGGCTAATGTACACCGCGGACCGAGGACGTTGTGCTAGAAGTTGAGGCCAGAGTATTCAGCCAGAGTGGAGTTGCCCTAAGCCACCACTTTCACGTTTCTAGAGACACCCACCGCATTGCCTGTTTTTCTTTCTTCCCTTGGAGGATGTCGGACCGTCAATATTCGATCCGCACCGAGATGTCGTGCGTCACACACCTCTTACGTTGACGGAAACATTGGCGAGGGGCATGGTCGCGCGTGGGCAATTCTGGGAACCAAGCGAAAATCGAACACTTGAGGGCTGGGTGGGGTCTGGGTCTGGGCCCAGACTGTTAGCATCCTGTACCTTGCAAAGCTTTTCTTTACCTCGAGCTTCGAACAACACGATTTGCGGACGTCAGTACCAACTTAGAATTGCAACATTTGTTCTACACCGCAGTCGCCGTGCACGTGAGCAAGATATGCCACGTCCCGTTGCCCTTGGTGGTGTAGGCGCTTGGAGCTTTCCACCCTGTCTTGCTTATCGCGTTTCAGTGTGCTTATCGCGGTTCAGTGACCGCTATCGCTAGCGGCGTCTTCGATCTCAATCTTCACACCTGTAACATGGAACAAAGTGGGAGTAAGTGCCAGGTCTTCGCGCATTGTGTTTTGCACGAGTTTGCCTACAAGACGGCCGAGCTGTGCACGAACCTTCTCTCACACACGTTGCAGGACGTCCCGAGTGTTGACCGTGTCTTGGTGACCTCCCCCGAGCTTCTTCGCACGGATACTGAGGGACCTCTCCAATGGTGGCATTGCCTCCGTGTACTTGTCCTGTGGACGCAGTATTGTTGAGATGTAGGGTTGAGAAACTAAATCCTTCAGCCGTCCATGTACTCGAAGACTGGTGAAAACAAAGATTCGTTTACCAAGTAGTCCAGCAACCCTAACTCTAACCCTAATCGTTTACCAAGTAGTCTAACGTTTACAAGTACAGATAGCGCCCGTATCAAGAACGTAGCAGTTAAATCGAGATTCGAAAAAGGCAAAAGCTAAGAACTTGAGCACCATTTGTGAGCCCGGTTGAGAACCCCTACACTAGAACCTATATAGTGGCGATTTTTAGCCCGCGAGAGGATGATCAGCAAAATAAGAACCCCAGCTTCGGCCGAAACTAATAGAGGTTTTCAAGTACGGGCGCCATGTGTAGTCCAGCAAGCACTGGTTGGAAGCAAATGGTCCGGTCAACTACGATACGAAACACATGATGACATGTGGGGAATTCAAAATGAACAGGGCATCAAAATTGTGTCGTCAGACCATTGGCACCTGCTGTCACCTATATGCCGTCAACAAGCCCGCTGACTGAGTGAATTCACCGCGACACATTGAAGCGTTGAAGTTTCTTGTCCTACAACAATCGGTTGTTGAGTACAACGTCCTGAGGATAACACACAAACAATGCTCGACGTCCCTTCGTGCTTGTTCCGGAATGTGGATACGTAGGGCGGCAGAGAGCCGGAATGCAGTCAAAATTCAAAAAGAGATCTCGCCCTGCACAAGAGTATTGTACAAATAGACTAGAAGGATCGCTTGCCTCTCACTTGGATCATCAACAAATTCGCCCGGCTACGCAGCGCTGTTGCCACTTCAGGGTGATCAGGGCCAAGAGACTTCTCGTAGATAGTGAGGGAGCGCTCCAACAGGAGTCCTGCTTCCTCATACTTGCCCTGGAATTCGACGCAAAACCGCAAAGGGAACGCGGTGAGGGCTAGAATATGGAAGAACAAATGCTCATGAATACCGCCCGGTTAATGAGGACTCGAACATTCACCGATACCCCACGCATATTCCCACAAATTGCCCACGGCTCGTACCTGCTTCCCCAACAACAGCGCCCTGTTGTTGAGGCGTGTGGCAAGAGCTGCGTGGTCAGGACCCAGGGTTTTCTCTCCAATCTCAATGGCTCGAAGGTACAGAGGGTCTGCCTCGGCATATTTGCCCTGGAAACGGCAAGACAGCGCCATATGAATGCGTTCAGCATGAAAAAAGCATTCTGCGGAGGACAAATGCTCAACAACTCGCCCGGTTGTTGAACAATGTGGCCACATCAGGATGCTCCAGACCCAGCACCATCTCTCGTACGGCTCGTGACCGGTCATTCCCGGCCTCAGTGTACTTGCCCTGGCACGCAGTACATACAAGTTCAATCAACGTGGAATCTACATCTGTTGATAAATGGTTTCTCAACCACGCTCGCCCGGTTTTTGAGCGCCCGGGCCACATCCGGGTGCTTTAGGTCCAGACCAGTCCCTCGCACATGGTTTGTGACCGCTCATAGAGTGGCATGGTCTCAGCACACTTGCCATGATACGTGATGAAGCGCGGCAGCGAGTCGGTCTGCGGTCAAATTGAAATCTACAATTGCGGAGGAATACTTGCTAAAGCATGTAGAAGCAGCTATTAGAAGCGCTTGGCTCTCACCTGCTTCTCAAACAATCCCGCCCAGTTGCTGAGGTCTGTAGCGACTTCAGGGTGGCTACGACCGTGAACTTCCTCGTCGATAGCCAGCGAGCGCCTGTACAGAGGCTCCGCCTCGTCATACTTGCCCTAGAATGTGACCGGAAAGATAAGAGAGAAGGTCGTTTGGTGACGGTGCACGCGCGAGACAACAAATGCCTGGGCAACATCCGGGCGCTCCGGGCCCAGACCCTACCCTCGTATGGCTTGTAGCCGTGCATAACGTGACTCTGTCTCAGCGTACTTCACAAGATACGTTGTGGCAGAAAGTCGATTTTCAGTCAAAGTCAGGTCTAGCACCATGGAGGATACATTATTCCAGCAGCATCTAAAATAATCGTTTGGCTCTCGCCTGCCTCTCGGTTGTTGAGCGAGAAAGACACATCAGGGTGCTCCGGATCCAGGGCCTTCTCTACAATAGCCTGCGATCGCTCAATACAACTGTGGAGCGACATGTTCGGCAAGAAGTAAATATTACTTGGCTCTTACCTGGCTCATCAATAACTTTCCCTCGTTGAGCGCTGCCGCCACATTAGGGTGATCAGGGCCAAGAGACTTCTCGTAGATGGTGAGGGAGCGCTCAAACAGAGGTCCGGCTTCCTCATACTTGCCCTGGAACTCGACGCAAAACCGCAAAGGGAACGCGGTGAGGGGCTAGAAATGTGGAGGAACAAATGCTCAACAACTCCACCCGGTCGTTGACTGAGAATGACACATAATGGTGCTCCGGACCACGGGCCTTGTCTTGAATAGCCTGCGATCGCCCGATACAACTGCGGAGGGACAATTTCGGCAAGAAGCACTAAATGCTTGGCTCTCACCTGGCGCATCAATAACTTTCCCCGGTTGTGGAGCGCTGCCGCCACAAGAGGGTGATCAGGGCCAAGAGACTTCTCGTGGATGGCGAGGGAGCGTTCAAACAGAGGTTGGACTTTCTCATGCTTGCCCTAGAATTCGACGCAAAACCGCAAATGGGGACGTGGTGAGGGCTAGAAAATGTGCAAGAGCAAATGCTCAACAACCCTGCCAGGTTGTCGAGCGAGAAAGACACATCAGGGTACTCCGGAGCCAGGGCCTTCTCTCGAAAAGCCTGTTGTCGGTCATTGGAACTGCGGACGGACAAGTTCGTCATGAAGCATCGCCTGGCTCTCACCAGCTTCAACAACTTTGCCCGGTCGTCGAGCGCTGTCGCCACATGAGGGGAATCAGTGCCAAGAGACGTCTCGTAGATGGCAAGGGAGCGTTCCAGCAGAGGTCCGGCTTCCTCATACTTGCCCTAACATCCGACGCAAAACCGCAAAGGGGACGCGGTGGGGGCTAGAAATGTGGCAGAACAATGTCCAACAACCCCGCCTGGTTGTCGAGCGAGAAAGACACATCAGGGTGCTGCGGACTCAGGGCCTTCTCTCGAAGAGCCTGTAATCGTTCGATACAACGGCCGAGGAACAACTTCATCAAGGAGCGCAAGTTAGCTCTCACCTGGCTCATCAATAACTTTCCCTCGTTGAGCGCTGCCGCCACATCAGGGTGATCAGGGCCAAGAGACTTCTCGTAGATGGTGAGGGAGCGCTCAAACAGAGGTCCGGCTTCCTCATACTTGCCCTGGAACTCGACGCAAAACCGCAAAGGGAACGCGGTGAGGGGCTAGAAATGTGGAGGAACAAATGCTCAACAACCCCGCCCGGTTGTCGAGCGAGAGAGACACGTCAGGGCGCTCCGGATCACGGGCCTTGTCTTGAATAGCCTGCGATCGCCCGATACAACTGCGGAGGGACAATTTAGTCAAGAAGCACTAAATACTTGGCTCCCACCTGGCGCATCAATAACTTTCCCCGGTTGTGGAGCGCTGCCGCCACAAGAGGGTGATCAGGACCAAGAGACTTCTCGTGGATGGCGAGGGAGCGTTCAAACAGAGGTTGGACTTTCTCGTGCTTGCCCTAGAATTCGACGCAAAACCGCAGATGGGGACGTGGTGACGGCTAGATATGTGGAGAAACAGAAGCCTAACAACCCTGCCAGGTTGTTGAGTGAGAGGGACACATCAGGTGCTCCGGAGCCAGGGCCTTCCGTCGAAAACCCTTTGGTTGCTGTACACGTAGGGTGACGGGTTCGTCCGATTACTACGATGCCCGGTAGACGGGGCTACAGCCGGGTGCCTAGAATAGAAACGAGCCGCATCAGACGAACAGAAACGCCTTCGCATTCAACAGCCGCCCGCGCAAAAAAAAAAGGTCGCTATCTCACTTTTGTCCTCCCCATGAGCGGAGGCTTCTTGAAGGGCAAGCCGCCAAACAGAACCTTCCTGGGCTTTCTGATGTCCACCGAAGCTTCAGGGATGGAAAGACTGACGTGCACGACTCCAGAAGGAACCTCAACAAGCACGAAGAACAATGAGAGACCAAAATTAGCAACCTGAGCGTTTCGAAACCAATCTTCATCACATTCAACTAACGGGGAACCCGACCTCGCGTGTTGGGGTCACACGGGTGTCATTCATAGATGCATAAACGGAGACATGTGCACGCGCTGCCACAACACTATAAACAAAAGGCCTGAAACGTCATTCGGTCTTACCTCAGCGTCCGGCTTGTCGCCCGATAGGCCAACCGCAGCGCCGATCGCACCCACGATCGCCACACCACTGGCCGCCAGGCCAGCCGTCAGCGACGTGTCGCCGCCCTCCACCTGCACGTCCGGCGCCGTCACGCTCACACCACTGGGGGACAGCTCACCACCGGCGCCTCCTTCCAAAGAGGGCATCTCGGGCATCTTGCCTGCCAGGTCCACGGAAGGCACCTCCACGGAGCCGGATGGAACGTCGATGTCCACTGAAGGCACGTCCACAGAGCCAGAAAAGTCCGGCACGCACACATGGGAAGCCACGTCCGGCACCTTCGGAGAGCCAGCAACGTCCGAGGCGGAGACATCGGCAGAAACACCCGGCAGGGACACGTCTCCACGAGCGTCGGGCAGGGACTCGTCTCCGCTCACATCCTGCACGGCGGGTACCTTGACCGAGCCAGGAGCTTCCGGCACAGATACGTCTGCGCCCACATCCGGCGCCGTCAAGCTCACGCCTGGTACCGAGACAACAGGCAGAGAGCCACTGATGTCCGGGACAGATACCTCAGCAGACACGTCCGGCACGGACGCATCAACATCCGGAACCTGTTTACAAGGACGGGAAAGAAACGTTTGTTCGGTGTAGCCGGTTAAACGTATTTCCAACGAACATTCTTGCAAATAACGTAGCGAAGCAAGCACCAACACCCAAAACAACCGGCATTGTATCCGTTCCTTGTTCAAGGCGAAACACGTGGACAAAGACTGCGCTAAAGCGTAGCCGTGTGCCACGATGACGGGGCTCTCCATGGACGAAACAACAACACCGCAAACCAAGGCACGTTCGAAAATGAAAGATCCCCAGTGAGACCCTCCTCACCCCGATGCTGATCTTGCCCGACGGTTTCTTCAAGGATAGGCCGCCGAGCACATCCTTCTTCGGCTTCCTCACCTCCACCGATTTCACTCCAGGAGCCTTGGCCGAGATGTCGTCCACCTTGGCACCCAAGTCTGCCTTCACATCGCCAACCTTGGCTCCCACATCTGCCGAGACCTCACCCGCCTTGGCCCCGACATCAGCAGACAGGTCACCCACGGACGGCATCGACGCGTCCTCCTCTGCAGGGGGAACGTCTACCGATGCCGAGGGGAGAGAGGCGTCGGCGGTGACGAAGGGCGTATCGACGGAGGGGTCGATTGACGGGGTGTCTACCGAGACACCAGGCACCTCCACAGAGGTGTTTCCGCTTATGGATGGCACATCAATCGATGCATCCACCCCCGGAATCTGCAATAGATAACACATGGTACGACAACGATGAGCGGCCAAGACAACCGAGGGGGCAAGAAAAACGCTCACACGGGACGCGCGGTGTTCTTCTATACCGAAGTTGTGCGAAAGCCACAAAGCCCGTCAAAACGGACAAAACGCCGCACACGAGATGAATCCACCACACGATGGGGGTGTTCACTTACTGGAAATAAATAGGCAGCGCCGCTTGCTTACCTCCGGAGTAGACGTCTTGCCCTCCTTCATAAACTGTGGGTTCTTCTGCCCGAATTTGCTCTTCTGCGGCTTTTTCACGTCCACGGATGGGACCTCAGGGTAAGTTAAGCTCGCATCCACCAAAGGGGCCTGGCGTAAAACGAACGTACACGAACAAGTCAGTACGTATTGCTAGAACTAGCGTTGGCGCCGTCAACACTCGTATCCTCTTCCAATTTCCGGAGAAGGCGCGGGGGTCTAAAACTCGTGCTTCCACAACCCAAAAATCAAAAGCCTTGAACGCCATTCGGTTCTTACCTCAGCGTCTCGCATGCAGCAGATGAAGCAGATTGCGCAGCACAGCAGGGTGCCCGCCATGATAAACTGCGGGATGAACATGACCAACGTCGAGTGGTCCGCGCCCGCGATAGCGTTGATGGCGAGCGCGACCGCGACCAACGTGAATCCCCAGCAGCAGCAAGACGACGCGTCAACTGACGGCAACTCCGGCTCAGGGCCGGCAATATCACCGCCAGCGGAAGGCATGGCAGGGGCCTGGAGGTCAACCCCCACGCCTAAAGGTGTGTCCGGAAACGGGCGTATTTCCGACGAATGGTATGATCAAGGACCGCATGCCGTCTCGTGTTAATTCCGCAAAGTTAGCTTGCATCGTCAAAAGTGTGACGTGACAACACCCAAGCCAACACCGTACAGCCTTTTATGACGCGAAGCAACGTACAGCATACGCATAACCCAAGCCACCAGAGAACGACCGCCACACATGTGCAATGGAAAACTGTGCATGTACGGCAAAAAGGCCATGACCGTTGTCGGGTATGTGACGGGTTACCCGAGTTGAGGGTATCTTCACAGGCACTGCCGGAGATTTGTACCCCCTCTAACCGAACCCAGACCTACCCAAACGATGGATGTTCGCTCGGCGCGCTGTTGAGTAGGTGCCAGGTCGATGTAATGTGAGGAGCACATGGCCTAGTTTGGTAGCTAAATATTGCTCCTAGCTAATGCATGCTGATTTGATCACGAGCGGCCCTAGGTCGGCTCCAGCCGGTTGGGAAGCGAAGCCAGACCAACCTGATGCCGCATCAACGCCGCTACTAGCTGAGGTGGTGCTGTACCATCAAGCTTCACACCTGGTGAAGAGGTAAGATCTGCGGTAGCTGCGTTGTGATTGCGAGGGTCTCCATCACGCGACACTACGCTCGCCAGCGCCCGAACTACGGGTCCAAATCCCTCGGGGCGCTCCACAGGGTCTTGCCTCCAGCATTGCTCCATCAGAGGCACAACCTCGGGCGCAGCAGACGCCCCTTCTGGAATTTGAGGCCGCTCGTTCTCATAGAGCACCGCCCTGATCACGTGGGCAGGTATCCTTCCCTTGAACGGCTCTGTCCGGGTGACCACCTCGAAGCAAAGGACACCAAAACTGGTCGGATTCAGCACAGATGGATAAAAGGGCGGTGTGGGAGGAATATTGGTGCTGCCGGGAGGCCAATGATTTGCGGCCACAGAAGGCCAATCACGCATCGGGGGCAGCAGAACGTGTAAACGAGAGGCCCCCTTTTCCCTCCCTCGAGCGTGGTCAATGGTCCGACCACTGAGGCATGAAAAATACGAGCACGCGTCCCCCCAGAAGCAACCGCAAATAACCAACTCCGTTGCTTCACCTGTACACATCCGTCAGCTCATTCGCAGGGCTCTCGTTCATCTCTTCCGGAGACATCCATTGGGTGGTGCCGACAGCCCCGCGTGTCGGCCTGCTCGAGAGGTAGGTCTTGACCTTGGACAACCCGAAGTCGCATATCTTGAGGCGGCCATTGGTGAACATGAGGACGTTCGCGGATTTGAGGTCTCGATGCAGGATACCCTTGTCGTGCAAGAACGTCATGCCTCTGGCAACGTCGTACAAGAAGGCCGCCTGCAGCGCATGTCCAAGAGGGTCGCTCGCCGAGCGCAGGTATTGTTGCAACGAGCCGCCGCTAGCGAGCTCAACGACCAGGCAGAGGTGGGGAATGATGGTAGAAGCCGCGTATAGCGGGGTCACGAAGTCGAACGAGAGGCTGGAGTGAAGGCGGATCTCCTTTCTGAGGTCGCGGACAGTGTCGCGGTGAATGCCGCTCGCCATGAGATGCTTTACCGCTACGTCCGCCCCCTTCCACTTCGCCGTGCGCACTTCGCCAAACCCCCCCCAACCTAGCAGGGCGCTGCCGTCGAAATCCAGGTCTTTCTCGTAGTCGATTTCGATCCACCCTGCCAGCTCCGACCGTTCATCCTTCCGGAGTGCCTTGAATGATCGCAATGGATTAGGGATGGAGACATGTCAGATGATCACTAGCCCTTAGCTTGAACGTACTGAGATGAACGCATCACCCAGGCCATGTGATTTCCTGGCTTCGCGTATCACCAGGCGTTTGTGCAGCAAATGTCACAACCCCGTCGTCCATTACTGGTGAGTATACCGTACTCTTTAGGTCCGTTCCGGGCGCTGACGAGGAGACCGGACAGCGAAAGAAAGCCGTAAAACGATGAGCGGTATTGCAAGAATGTTGCTCAGTTGGCACGTTGCGAGGTTGGAGCACCTTTTCATGCTCACCTTCAAGACATTCATAACCTCTGCGTGTTTGTCCGTTTGGTTGCGCTTCACTGTTTCCATCATGTCCAACATATTTTCGATGTCTTCTTGGCGGTCCGACGCGTCTTCTTTCGCCCACACGTCCACGGCGACTTCCAGGTGAAGGGCTTGCATCCCCTCGGTGAGGTTTAGGCCGAGTCGCATGAATTCGGCAGCGTTCGATCTTCGATTCAGGGCGCGATTAAATTTCGTCATTCGCGCATATTCCTCCAAAAAGTTCCGGATTTTCTCCACGGTCGTTAAGAGCTGGCGTAGTGAATCGGCCGAAGTTAAGCTTGTGCCATTCTGGACGGCGAGAACCGGAGCCTCGATGGCCAGTGCTCTCTTGAGCAGTCGGCAAGCTTGCCGATCGTTCTCCATGACGTCTTCTGCCACATCACGGACCTCGGCCAAAACACGGAGAACTACTACCGCCACGTCCACCATGATTGCCGCGGTCAGGGAGACAAGCAGCCTCCTCCCTGCCATGGCAGTCCAAAGAAGCACGTGTAGCGGGATGGCTTGGAAAACTTAATGGCGGCCGGGGGGTACGAAAGATGCTGCAAATCATCACGGGGTCCAACGACGCACATTTACCACTCTTAGTTTGGAGAACGAACGATACTAGACCACGAAGCGACGGTACCGGGCTCTTGACCACCAACTCAGCAGAAGAGCGAAAGTGCTCCACGCACACATACCAAGGCGGCAACATGCACCCCGACTTCAGCAAAACAATAGGCGCTACGCAAACTAGGCGGCCTGTTTCCGTGTGTTCCTGTAGTAGCCCGGCTGGGTGAGTATGGGCCGGCATCGATGACGAGGAGGTAGATGCAGAACGGGTAACGTGAGTGAGGCACGTTTGCCATCCATCTACACTACCACTGCACCGAACCTCAGAGTAAATTTTCGACGACTCATGATAACTTTTCGAATTTCTTACTCCTCCGGCGGGGGGGGCGGGGGGGCGTCCTGTGTCCGGATTTTTTTTTCGCCTGCCTGTCCCTTGCCTCTAATTATAATTCATTGTGTCCAGCAAGTTTGTATGTGTACAACGTCTCCAGGCTCGGGCGCCAGGAGCCCTCGCCTTCAGCTCAGCATTACGCTGAAAGGGAGGTTGGCGCGTGAAGACTGTGCACAGCATACCAAGAGCACGAAGCTGGAAAAGAGGTTCACCTGCATATGGTACTGTAGTGTAAAGGCTACAGCAGCACCTTCAATGCTACAGCGTGTCGTTGACAGTATTACAGAAGAAGACAAAAACAAACTTGCAGTTCGCGATGTGCAGCAATGCATGTATGTGTGTGTATGATGTTCGAAAACTCAAAGCACAAGCGAAATTACTCTATAATACATAAAAAGAGATGTGGCGTACAACAACAACAAAAGAAACAATCAACCATCGAAACCGCAAAGGGGAACACTGAAAATGAAACGTGTCCCTTGCAAGTAGAGTGAGAAACTTATGACCGACTTCCTCGCCAAAATTCTAATGCATCCAGGTGACAATGGCAAATACTGGAAATGCCGAAATGACGCCAAATGACGCCGAACCAGAGTTCTACCCTTCAAAGAGTCAGCCAAGTATGCACATGAAGGAGCGCACCATTCGTCTGAGCTACTCCCCCACTTCTCCTGGTTTTCAAAGCTAGCCGGCAATTCGGATCCAGCCGTTGTGCGATACGTAATCATCTCCGTTAGGATTTGAGGAGGACGGATTCTAAAGCTGTAGAGAAGCACTGCGCCTGTTCGCTCCTTCCTACTGCTGCTTGAGACTGACTTGGGCCCTCCAAAACTCCGACAGGTACGATCAAACTCATTCGTGTGTGGTCAAAGATGGACTGCGTCTTTGTACAAGCCCAACATGCCACCATGCACAACATACTGCTGCTGCCGTTCAACTACTACTGTCGCCGCCCTTCAACGTCTACCTGTCCATGACACATGCTACCACTTGATGTGACAACATCTGGGAACAACACGGACACAGGAAGTACTCCCCCTACCCATACACAACACCGTCAAAAATGCTTGTAAGCTAGAACAACCTCTCATTCCTCTCTTTCCACACTCTTTTCTTCTCTCTTTGTCTTTTTCTCGTTTTATCTCTTTTCTGTGCCAGATGGCCTTGTCTCTGCTTGCGTTGTGAAGTACCAAGATTGAACCGAGGGGGTGTATCTCATTCTCTCCGGCCCGTGATGGTGACTCCTAGTCTCAGTTGTTACCTCGCATAGCGCGCAGAG